GAGAAATTATATGTTATGCAAAAGATATAAAAAGTTTTTGGGATTTTCTAGGAATGAAAATAGCACTTGGAAGTCTAAGTGTACAAATTGCACTATCAAGGGAGGTGAGTTACAAAGAGTCACTTAATAACCAAGCATTTTCAAGTGGAAATCACTAAACTCCTTTGTGGTACTTCCAATTCCCCAAAATTTTTCACAAAAATTTTGAATGATTTTTCACAATTGGTTTGTTTTGACATTTAAACTAAGCGTGAACAAATAAAACTAAACAATTCTAGACGTTTCAAGGCAGCAAAAATAAACAATTAAGGACAAGAAACTTAAAGGAAACAATGTAAGCAACTAGTCGGATATCCTAAGTGGAAGCTTGAAACATATGAAATTTCCAAGCCACTTCCACTAACACTACACGTGAGGATGCTATCAAGGATTAAGATATACCTGACCAGCTTCTTAATACTCCCTCCAAGCTTTACAAATTGGTTTAAAATACAAAAGATTTGGCAAAAATTTAACCTAGCCTAGGAAAGCAAAAAAGTGGCGGCTTTGGCAACCAATTAGTGACGGATTGATGTTCAAGTTTTCCAACACTTATTCAAGTGTTTAATCCGCCACTAATCCTTCAATATGATTCTCCCTGGACCTGCAAAAGAAACACAACAAAGAGGTTAATGTGGCTGCCTCACAAGGTGAAGGAATTTGGTCACTCAAGTGAAGGAAATTTAGGAGGATTTTGGTCACAAAATTAGGTCAAATTTGGTGATTGTTGTGTCCAAAATTTTTCCACTCTTTGTTGAGCAATGCTTGATCCTTGAGCAAGGATTTATTAAAATATGTTTGATTACTCATAAAGGTTCCTAGGAATATTCATATAAGATTCATGTCATGTTTGGTTAGGCTACTATATTCTTAGGAATATAATTTTTTTTACAAAAAATATCTTTTATTAAAATAAATTTATTAGATATATTTATTTAGTCAAATCTTATTACAAATATAACATTAAACTATTTTTAAAAAGTTGAAAATTTATAGTTAAAATTATTTAAATATAGAATTCAACAAAAAAAATAACTACATAATAATTAAGAAGGATAAAAGAATATATTTCATTTCATTCAAATGAATAAATAAATTAATTAAAAGATGTTAACAAATACTATTAAACTATAGAAATAAAATAGACTTTAATAATATTATTAAAATTGACAAGGTCAAGAAATAATGAAATATAAGAAAGAGAGAGAGAGAAAGATAAAGATATAAGAGAGAGGGGAAAAGAGAGGGACAGGGAGAAAGGGGGAGTGAGAGAGACAGAGAGAGAAAGAGAAATAAATGGAGAAAGAGAGAGAGGGAAAGGGAGAGAGGAAGAGAGGGGAGTGAGAGTGAGAGAGAGGGAGAAAGAGAAATAGAAGGGGAGAGAGAGAGGGAGAGAGGAAGAGAGGGGGAGTGAGTGTGAAAGAGAGAAAGAAAGGGAGAAAAAGAAATAGAAGGGGAGAGAGAGAAAGAAAGAATTTATGTTTTAAAAAAGCATATTAGGGTCTTTTTATATGAATTAAATTTTTCCGTTAACTCGAGAATATTTTTGTGAGAAAGTGAGATAAAAATAATTAAAAAAATTACATTCCTGTGGTTTTTTTTTTATGAAACATAAGAAACTAAGATTCCCACTTTAAGGTTCTCATGAATGTAAAAATATTTTGCGTACTCCCTATGAGTAACTTTTAGTAGACTTATTTTATTAAATAACTCACATTTTATATTGAATTTTAACAATTCAATTGTTTAATTACAAGTTTTTAATACATAAATTAATTTTACAAGATTATAAAAAAAATTGAAAATTATATGATTCTTCTTTTTATAAATATAAATTAATAGATAATCATAAAAATATTTTTTTATATTGATTTGAATTTCTATATCGAAGTATCATATAACTTTTAATTTTTTTAAATATGAATTATATAGTGTGCGTATATGTGTGTGTGAGGGGGGAAGGGGGGATTACAAAGGGAGAGATCAAAATTTCTGGTGTAGAAAAATTAAAGTACTTATGAATAGTCTTTTCATGATGAATAATCACTAAACAAAGAAAAAAGTTGATCACAATATTGAATAACTAAAGATGAGTCATTTAGTCTTGGGCCTATAGAGATATTTTGTCAAATTCAAAAAATATAATCTTCATTAGAATTTCCCTCGGTATATGTAAAAAAAAAAATTTATTCAAAATTAAAATGTCCTGGGATGTAAAAATGATTTTTTTGGTTTTAAGTTTTAGATGCATGCTTAGAAACTAATGTATCTGAAGTACACTGAAACAAGTCCCACACCGGGGAGGTCTCCTTACCAAGGAGGGTACTTCACTCACCGGCACTTCACTCGGCCTTTTGCCGGTCAGAAGACTCCGATGGTCAGAACCCTTCGTAGGTAGCCCTTCTCGATTTGGCTAGCTCTTACAATGGAAAGGAAAAATTACAAGAATGAAAATGAGCCCAATATTGGGTACCAAAAGCCCAAAGGCCCATGAAGCCCAAAACTAGGCCCAACTAGCCTAAAACCTAAAATGCTACTCTATGTGGTCCAAAATACAAGACCAAAATATATGATACCTATACTAACATGATGTATACAAAACATATGAAAATAGCTATAACAAAATATGGCCCATGAAAAGTTCAACTTGGGCCTTCCCAGGCCCATCAGGCCCATTGGGCCCTGACTGACCCAAACCTTCATGTCTAGCCAACTCCTCTTGGATCTTTGAGTGTGTCACCTCTTGCATTCCCAAGTATGATTCCATCATTAACCCATCAAAGTGTATTTTTCACAGACAAAACTGTGACAACTCAGTGAGTATCAAAGTAGACAATTCAATAAGTATCAAAGCAAAAAATACCTTGAACGCGATATCCTTAATGATGACAATGAACTTATAGTTAGAACGAATTAAAAATCCATAATGTTGTTTCCACATCCCTAAATTTCTAAGGAGTAAGAAAATTATTGCTCCTCTAAGTTATCCATCCATAAGTTGGGTAAATAGGTTTTTTTTAATACTTGTTTTTGGCATACAAGCATATTACAGAGTTTTCAATTGAACCAACTTGCTGAGCATAAAGCTAGTTGTCATTGAGGTTGAGGAAAATGAGTGGAGAAAAGAAGGGGAACAAAGATAATGTGTTTTTGAGGTTGTGACATAGACAAATAAATTAATACTTCACTTTAGTCCTTAGAATTACATGGATGGCATGTTAATGCACACTTAAAGATAACAATATATTATTTTTTTATCATAATTTATTTTATAAACTAAATTATTTCTTTTTTAATAAATAAATAAATATATATATATATATATAATTAGAATTATAATTATAACGAGACGTGTTCCAGTTTTGCACAATAATTTTTGCACAAATTCACTTTTCTTGACAAAAGATGTTTTTGTTATCAATCTCACCAATGATCATCGCTCTTCTTTGTTACTTTCTCGTAACCAAACATGCATGAACAATACCCTTTCACGTCCATCCTCCTCCACCACCAAACTTCCAAGATACCAAACCAGGCGTTTAGTGTGCCAAATTAGTTGTCTTATTCTAGTGTGAAAGAGAAAATGTATTTTTAGAGACTTTCTTTTGTTGTTTGATTTTATAAAATTCAGGATCATTAAAATAGTATGTTACAAATTCATGGTCTAAAATAATGATTTATTAAGTTATTTTATAAGAATTCATTCATTCATTAATTAAGTGTGTATATATATATATGTGTAATATAATATATTCTTTTGATTTTTTATTTTTTAAAAATATGTTTAATTCAATTATATATATATATATATATATATATAATCGATAAAAAGATTTTGTAACCCAAAAGAAGGTTGGAAGTAAAATCAAGCAGAAAAAAATTGTGGAAATGAAAACAACGACAACACAAACCTTTCAATTAATTAAAGTCGTATAAAATATAAAAATTATGATAAATTGATTCACAGTGACTTAGAATTGATGTTTGACTATACTTGCCATTGCACATCATATGAAAACACGAGTGATGGAGCATAAATATATGCACTTTAATAATCTAGGGTCACAAATATATCAGTTGAGATATATTAATTTTTTCTAACGGCATTAGATTGAGAAAAAGTTTGGCATATCAAATTGATGTTGAGAGATCTCCAAAGTCTCTTATATTCTACTAGTATAGTGCATTTAGATGGTCCTCTAGAACTAATTAGCGTGTAGTGTCCCCACACTTAAATTGAAATGTATTAAATGATAGCGGGTTATCCGGTGACGTTGCGCCAAAAACAACGAATGAAGGGGAAATTAAGAGCAATTATTGCTCAAATTGAATGCTAATAAACCATGGCGCCCAATCAAATGTTTTTCTTTTTTCCGACGATAGAGAGAGATATGATTCTCTCACAGGGTCATTGATAAATGTCGCAGTGCTCATTGCCATTGGCCTACTCTCAACAATAATCTCAACGACGCTCACTAATCAAAGGAACGTGAAAGCACGCGCGTGAAAGTAAAGGTGAGTGTGAACGTAGCTGGAGCCCATTCTCGCTCCCCGAGGCTCGCAAAGGATGAACAACCATGGTACGTCCACCTCCTAGTTTTCTACTCAGTAACCACTAATCATTAACCTCTCTACTCAACACACGTTTATAAACACGGTTAATACTACCATATATCCACCACACGTCAATCAACTTGTTACTAACTGGTTAAAGGATTTTTCATTCTTTATTCTCTTCTCTTCTCTATAAAACTTACTGTCATAATAAATTTAAATTGTCATAAATGTGACTTATAAATATAAATATACGTAAGTGACTAAAAATAAATAAATGTAATTATATTAATTAATACTGTTAATATTAATCATTCTCAAATATTTATATATAAAATCAATAACTTGATGATATTTTGAGCTGTTTGTGAAATAAAATTGATCAGAATTAAATATTTAATATTATTAACCAGGTACGCATAATTATTTATTTATAATTACTAAAAATTAAAGTTAAAAACATGATTAGCCGCAAGACTGGATGGACACGGGTGTACAAATTCCGTATGTTGGTTACTCTTTTTCCTTTTCCAGTGATTTGGTGTCTGCACTGTAATCTCCATCGGCATCTTTCGTTCTTGGCATTGCGGTGCTGCCACGGCTCTTCTATGCCCCTTAACCGGAGCTTCATTTCTAGCACACACGTATCATGGCATAGTGTCATCATGCCCCCAAAATTAGCATCCCTTTTGTAATTTATCAATTTTCAATTTTATTATTGCGTCAGAAAAGAAAAAGAAAAAAGAAAATCCTTATTATTAAGTCACTTATAGGAGGTTGGGACTCCATCACTTCACTTTAGAAAGATGAAGAGGGAAAGGGTGGAAGACGCGAGAGGGGAATGCTCTAGTAGTGCGAAGGGAAAGAAGATGTGCGAGGAAGAAGAACGCGAGGACAAGTTGCTGGCGGGTGTAGGGTACAAAGTGTGTTCCTCAGACATGGCTGACGTGGCACAGAAGCTCGAGCAATTGGAGATGGTGATGGACGAAGACGGAATTCCCCATCTCCCCACCGACACCGTGCACTACGACCCAACCGATCTCTACGGTTGGGTCCAGAACATTCTCACCGAAATCAACAACAACAACGATAACGCACTCAACCACACCACCGTCAACGCTCTCCTTCCCTCGCCGTTTATCGCCGATTCCGAGAACGACCTCAGAGCGATTCCGTTACCCTACGTCCAAGCCTATCCGCAACCGGAAAATCAAATTCAAAACCAAAATCACTACAAGCGTTTCAAGAGTTCCTCCTCGTCTTCTCCGCTGTCGCCGGCGGTTTCCTCGATTTCATCGGAAAACGCGCTTCCGGTGGTTCTCGTGGAGGAAGCAGGCGTGCACCTCGTCCACGCGCTCATGGCGTGCGCGGAGGCCGTTCAGCTTGGAAACGCGAGCCTCGCCGGGGCTCTCGTGAAGCACGCGGGAACCCTCGCGGCGTCGCAAGGCGGTTCCATGGGGAAAGTCGCGTCGTTCTTCGCTCAAGCACTCGCTCGAAGAATCTACGGTTTCTACCCGCACGAAACCCTAGACTCTACCTACTCCGACACACTTCACATGCATTTCTATGAGTCAAGTCCGTACCTGAAGTTCGCGCACTTCACCGCGAACCACGCCATCCTCGAAGCCTTCGCCGCCGCGGAAACGATTCACGTGATCGATTTCGGCCTGAAGCAGGGGCTGCAGTGGCCGGCGCTGATGCAAGCGCTGGCAGTCCGTCCTGGAGGTCCGCCGGCGTTCCGCCTCACCGGAATCGGTCCGCCGCGACTCGACGACACGGACTCCGACGCGCTGAGTCAGGTCGGTTTGAAGCTCGCGGAACTCGCGCGAACGATTAAGGTTCGATTCGAGTTCCGCGGATTGGTGTGTAACAGCTTGACGGATCTGGATCCGTCCGTGCTAGAAATCCGTCCCGGAGAATCCGTCGCTGTGAACGCCGTCTTCGAGCTTCACCGGTTGCTAGCGCGACCTGGAGCGATAGAAAGCGTGTTAGCGACAATTAAGATGATGAAACCGGAGATAATTACCGTGGTGGAGCAAGAAGCGAACCACAACGAACCGGTGTTTCTGGACCGGTTCACGGAGGCGTTGTACTACTACTCGAGTTTGTTCGACTCGCTGGAGGGATCGGCGGCGGCGCCGAGCGAGGAGGCGTTGGTGATGTCGGAGATGTACCTCGGGAGACAGATATGCAATGTGGTGGCGTGCGAGGGGGAGGAGCGCGTGGAGAGGCACGAGACGCTGGGGCAGTGGAGAGGGAGGCTCGGTTCGGCGGGGCTGGAACCGGTTCGGTTGGGTTCGAACGCTTTCAGACAAGCGAAGATGTTGCTGGGACTGTTTCGCGAGGGGGAAGGGTATAGGGTGGAAGAGAACAATGGGTGCCTCATGCTTGGCTGGCACACGAGGCCACTCGTCGCTACCTCCGCGTGGAGACTCGCACCCGCTGAGTTCACTCGCTGGGTCCGTGTTGGGAAAATGACCTGAACTCATTACTCATATACTGTTACTGTAGATTGTTTTCTTGAGTTACTTTACACCTTGGAATGGGATGATTCATGAATATTCCAAGTCAAACTTGAGTGAGTCAGTACTCAGTAGCCAAGTGAGTGAGTGAGAGAGGGTAAATAAACATAGTAAAAAACCAACTAAATATCCTAATTTTAATCATTCTGTTATCGATTACCCTTCTTAGTTCTTAGTCAAATTAATGAAAATAATTCGTTGGATTATGTTCAAAACTTCTTTTCTTAACTTTTAGCTTTGATTAATTTGTTAATTAGCCTTCTTTTCTCAATTTTTTTTGTTGTCTTGGATTAAGATTAGATTTGTGTTTCAAGAGGAAGTTAGTCAGAAAAACATGTTTCATGCATTTATTTTTCTCTTAAAGTTTCTAATAAATAAAAACAATATTGAGATATGCATCAGGTTAATTTTTCTAATTAAAATTATTCTTTTTGCTTATGTAATACTTGTTTGGGTGAGATAATTATGATTTCTGAAAGCAAACTTTGTAATTGGCGAGTATAAAAATGTTTTGTAAAAAGATATTGAAAGGGGACAGATTTAGAAATTAACCACTGTGGGACAATTGTAAATTTAAAATAAATGTAACTTTTAGTGTATAGTATTAAAGACATAATTAATATTTTAATTAAAATCAATTTTGCTCCTAAATAATAATTAATACTCCATATAAAGATAAATAGTGGGAAACTAAAAGATGACTTTAATGGTCATTACTGACATTGAAGGGTTACATTACATTAGTGCTACTGTGCTAATTAAAAGAAGATTAATGTGGAGGAGATTAATGTCTTTTTTATATTCAAGAGATTGATGTGTTTTAATTATATATTTGGAAGAAGAAAATGTTCTGTTTTTAAAGATTATATACGTGATGCTTCTAATACTCAAGTCAATATGAATTAGAATCAAGATTAAGAAATAGAACAAATGCACACGTGAGGTGGTTAGATTTCGAGTTTTTATAATCTATCCTTATATTTGGGTTCCAATATTGACAACCCATTGAACTCTTACTGGGTTGTGTACTCTAGTAGAGTACATCTATGTTAATCTTGTTGGATTGTGTTGATTTTTAACTAAAACATGCATTAACTTTTTTCTATTTTTATTAATAATTGTAAAAATGTCACTCTACTTTCATTTTATTTATTGTATTTATTAATAAATATACAGTTAAAAATAAAATAAACATACCCTAAAGGATTAGCAAAAGTTTATAAACATTATAAGAAGAGTTAGGTTGGTAATAAAGCGGATAAATTGTAATTATTTTTTACCCATTTGAATGAGAATCTTTCAACTAAAAAATATTAAAAAAAACATATAATATCAAAAGGAAGTTTTAGTTTTTGTGCCATTATAAGAAAAAGTTTTTTAGGCTTTTATTTTTTTATTTTCTATTTGGTAGAATTTATACTAAATTTTCAAGATCATTGCAAATATTAACAACTAAGATTGATCTAGTAATAAGAGTTGGACGAGTTTACGTTGAATCTTAAGTTTATAATTCTTTTTGATAAAAAAAATCATTGCAAACATGAATTATATATATATATATATATATATATATATATATTCACTTATTCTAAGAGAAAAATTTTATAAATTTAGTTTATTCAATAATTCATACTCTATAATAAATTTTAATAATTTGATCGTCAAATTAAAAAATTTTAATGTATAAATCAAGTTTATAAATTTAAAAATAATGAAAATTATATGATATTATATTATATAAATTCAAATCAACGTATAAATATTGTTATGATTATCCATTAATTTAAATTAATGAAATAAAATATCAAATAATTTTTAATTTTAAAATATTCGTGAAATTAATTTATGTATTAATTACTTTTAATTTAACTATTTAATCATTAAAATTTAATGTAGAATATAAGTTATTGAGTAAGATAAGTTTATAAAGACTTACTATTGGAATAAGTAAATCCATCCTCATATATATAAAAAGATCCACTCCTTCAATAGTGAGTATTGGTAGAGTTACTCTACCCAGTAATTCATGATCCATAATAATTTTTAACGATTTAATCATTAAATTTATTTTTGATATTATATATACTAAATCTACAAACTTGTGTGAAATTTTAAAATAATTAAATGCTTTGTTAGTTGAGTTAAAATCAAAGTATAATATGTTTTAATAGATTTACGTTAATTTGAAATTTTATAAAAAGCATTAAATAATTTTTAAAAATTGCAAAAATTTACACACTTGATCTATACAAACTTTTAATTTAACAGGTGAATTGTTAAAATTCATTATGTACTATGAGCTATCAAATGAAATAACTTTATAAAAAGTTACTTTTGGAGTAAATGAATCACTCACCACACAAAAAACAACATTTCACTTGTTTCGTTAGTGGTGAAATGTTGCTTGAAAAATAAAATAAAATGTAGTTTATGTCTAAAGTTATTTCTTTCTATCACTAATGTGAAATTAATTATTTATGAGCTTTGAATAAAATGTATGTTTCCTCCTTTTCCTTTATCTACACAGGCCTTTGTCTCCTTCTTTACGCAAAGTTATGTGACTTTCTTGACTTTCATTAAATGATTACATAAGAAAGTATCTTCCTCGTAATCGTCTCATTCAGACACAAAGCTAAATTGAGACATTTATTTTGCTTTATTGACACACCATAAAGATATTAATTTGAAATTTTTAATGAAACATTAAATGGTTTTTAATTTTTGCAAAATGTGTACACTTGATCTATACAAACTTTTGATTAAATGAATGAATCGTTAAAATTCATTATGAATTATGAGTTATTAAATGAAGTAATTATACAAAAAATTATTCTTTGAGCAAGTAGACCCATATCCACACAAAACACAATATTTTACTTATTTGGTTGGTGGTGAAATGTTGCTCAAAAAGGAAAACAAAATGTGGATTTTGTCTAAAGTTATTTCTTTATATCAGTAGTGTGAACTAGATTGCTTGTGAGCTTCAAATAAAATGTATGTTTCCTTTGTCTATATTGACCTTTATTTCCTTTTTTACTTAAATTCATGTGACTTTTTTTACTTTAATTAAATGATTACGTAAGAAAATATCTTTCTTGTAATCGTCTCATTTAGACACAAAGTCAAATTGAGACATTTTTTTTACTACTTATCGACACACCACAAAGACACTAATTTGAATTTTTGTAATGAAACATTAAAGGGTTTTCAAATTTTGCAAAAAATTGTACACTTGATCTATACAAATTGTTAATTTAACGAATGAATCGTTAATATTCATTATAAACTATGAATTATTGAGAAAATTAATTCTATAAAGAGATACCTTTTGAATAAGTGAATCCCTTTCCACAAAAAACGTGATATTTCACTTGTTTGGTTGGTGGTGAAATGTTGCTTGAGAAGAAAAACAAAATGGGGGTTTTGCTTAAAGTTATTGCTTTTTATGAGTAATGTGAAATGGATTGCTTGTGAGTTTTGAATAAAATGTATGTTTTCTTGTTTCCCTTTGTCTATATTGGCTTTTATTTCCTTTTTAACTCAAAGTCATGTGATTTTTTTGACTTTCATTAGATGATTACGTAAAAAAGTATCTTTCTTGTAATCGTCTCATTTGGACACGTAGTTAAATTGAGACATTTGTTTTGCTTTATTGACACCATAAGGACATAACTTTGAAATTCTATAATGAAACATGAAATGATTTCTGAATTTTGCAAAGAACTGTACTCTTAATATAAATAAACTTTTATTTTAATAGATGAATCATTAAAATTCATCATGAACTATGAACTATTAAGTGAATTAATTTTATAAAAAGTTACTATTGAAGTAAATGGATCCCTCTCCACACAAAACACGATATTTCACTTGTTTGGTCGATGGTGAAATGTTGCTTGAGGAGGAAAACAAAATGTGGGTTTTGCCTGAAGTTTTTTTTTTTTTCTTTATCAATGGTGTGAAATTGATTACTTGTGAGCTTTGAACAAAATGTACGTTTCCTTGTTTTCTTTCGGTCATATTGGCTTTTTTTCCTTCTTTACTCAAAGTTATGTGACTTTTTTGACTTTCATTTAATGATTACATAAGAAAGTTTCTTCCTCTTAGTAATCTCATTTAGACAAAAAGCTAAATTGAGACATTTGTTATGCTTTACCGACACGCCATCAAAATGTTAATTTGAAATTATATAATGAAACATTAAATGTTTTTTAAATTTTCCAAAAATTTGAACACTTGATCTATACAAACATTTAATTCAACAAATGAATTATTAAAATTCATCATGAACTATGAATTATTGAGTGAAGTAATTATCTAAAGAGTTACTTTTTGAGTAAGTGAATCCCTTTTCACACAAAATGCGATATTTCACTTATTTAGTTAGTAGTGAAATGTTGCTTTGGAATGAAAACAAAACGTGGGTTTTGCCTAAAGTTTTTTTTTTCTATCTGTAGAGTGAAATTGATTGCTTGTGAGTTTTAAACAAAACGTATGTTTCCTTGTTCTCCTTTGTCTATATTGGCCTTTGTTTTCTTTTTTACTTAAAGTCATGTGACTTTTTTAACTTTCATTAGATGATTACATAAGAAAGTATCTTCCTTGTAATCGTTTTATTTAGATACAAAGTTAAATTCAAACATTTGTTTTGCTTTACTGGCACATCATAAAGACAATAATTTGAAATTTTATAATGAAACATCAAATAATTTTTTAATTTCGCAAAAACTTGTACACTTGATTTATAAAAACTTTTAATCTAACAGATGAATCATTAAAATTCATTATGAATTATGAGCTATTTAGTGAAGTAATTTTATTAAGAGTTGTTCTTTGAGTAAGTGGATCCCTTTCCACAAAATGCAATATTTTTACTTGTTTGGTCAATGGTGAGATGTTGCTTGAAAAGGAAAACAAAACGTGAGTTATGCCTAAAGTTATTTCTTTCTATCAGTAGTGTGAATGGATTGCTTGTAAGTTTCAAACAAAATGTATGTTTCTTTGTTTCCCTTTTGTCTATGTTGATTTTTGTTTCCTTATTTATTCAAAGTCATGTGACTTTTTTGACTTTCATTAGATGATTATGTAAGAAAGTATCTTCCTTGCAATCGACTCACTTAGACATGAAACTAAATTGTGACATTTGTTTTTCTTTACCAACACGCCAAAAGACAATAATTTGAATTTTTATAATTAAACATTTAATGGTTTTCAAATTTTGCAAAAATTTGTATAATTGATATAAACAAACTTTTAATTTTAATGGATGAATCGTTAAAATTCACCATGAACTATGAACTATTGAGTTAAGTAATTTTATGAAGTGTCACTCTTGGAGTAAGTGAACCCTTCTCCACCCAAAACATAATATTTAACTTGTTTGGTTGACGGTGAAATGTTGCTTGAAAGGGAAAACAAAACGCGAATTTTGCATAAAGTTATTTCTTTCTACTAATAGTGTGAAATGGATTGATTGTGAGCTTCAAACAAAATGCATGTTTCCTTAATTTCCCTTGTCTATATTGACCTTTCTTTCCTTGTTTACTCAAAGTTATGTGACTTTTTGAACTTTCATTAGATGATTATGTAAAAAAGTATTTTCCCTATATTTGTCTTACTTTGACACAAAGCTAAATTGAGACATTTGTTTTGCTTAACTTATACACCATAAAGATATTAATTTGAAATTTTGTAATGATTAAATGATTTTCAAAAATCACAAATTTTTGTACATTTGATATAACAAACTTTTAATTTAATGGACAAATTGTTAAAATTCATTATGAATTATGAGTTATTGAGTGAAATAATTATATAAATAATTACAATTGGAGTAAGTGAATCCATTTTCACGCAAAACACAATATTTCACTTGTTTGGTTGATGGTGAAAAACAAAACGTGATTTTTACTTAAAATTAATTCTTTCTATTAGTAGCGTGAAATGAATTGATTGTGAACTTCAAACAAAATGCATGTTTCATTGTTTCCTTTTGTTTATATTTGTCTTTGATTCCTTCTCTACTCAAAGTTATGTGTTTTTTTTATTATATACTTTTATTAGATGATTATGTAAGAAAATATATTCCTTATAATCATCTCATTAAGACGCCAAGCTAAATTGAGATACTTGTTTTGCTTTAGTGACATGCCATAAAGACATTAATTTAAAATTTTGTAATGAAACATTACATGATTTTTAATTTTCTCAAATTTGTATACACTTGATATAAACAAACTTTTAATTTAATTAATGAATAGATAAAATTCATTATTATGACCTATGAATTATTAAGTCAAGTAATTTATAAAGAGTTACACTTTGAGTAAGTGAATTGCTCTCCTCACAAAATGCAATATTTCACTTGTTTGGTTGGTAGTGAAATGTTGCTTGAGAAGGAAAACTAAGCATTAATTCTGCCAAAGGTTATTTCTTTCTATCAATAGTGTGAAATGGATTGATTGTGAGCTTCGAACAAAATATATATTTCCTTGTTTCCCTTTGTCTATATTGCCCTTTTGTTTCCTTTTTTACTCAAAGTCATATGACTTTTTTGACTTTCATTAGATGATTATGTAAGAAAGTATCTTCCTTGTAATTGTCTCATTTAGACATGAAGGTAAAGTGGGACATTTGTTTTACTTCATCGACACACCATAAAGACAATTTCAATTGAACCTAGTGTTTTCTACCACTCCACCAATGGATTTGTAAAAGTAAAAAGGTAGCATTATACATTATTGTTGTCATGTCCATTGTTTAGTATTCATCTTCCAATTTTTTTCAAATGCTAATTTGTAGCTTGTTATGTATTTATATACCTATAGTATGTAAGATAATAGTTTATTATGTAATTTGTGTTAAGATTTGTCATAAAGATTACAATAAGCAAACATTTTTGTACAAGAAATTTTTTTTTTGTATTATTGAAATTTGCTATTTATATTAAGTGTTGAAAGTTATTTATTAACCATTACACCAATGATAATGTAACATTTATTAGTTTGATTTGACGTGGTGATGGATCTTAAAGAGAACGACATTTAATATGAATGATTTATATCATAATTTTTTTAGGGGAGAGATTCATTTATAAAAACAACTTTTAGTAGAACTACTTTACTTAATAACATATAGTTTATATTAAATTTCAATAACCAAATCATTAAATTAAAATTCATAATAAATTAATCAAATTTACATTATTTTTACAAAATTTGGAAGCTATTTAATACTTTACTACATTAATTTAAATTATCATATATTCATAAAAAACATATTACTCCTATACATTAATCTGAATATATATAAGAAAATATCATATAATTTTGAAATTGTGCAAAAAAAAATTATACATTTAATTTATTCATTAAGAATTTTTAGTTTATGTATAAGTTTTTGAAATTCAATATAAATAATGAGTTATTAAATAAATTAATTCTATTGATAATTATTTTTTTTATACAAATACTCGTTAATAAAAAAAATAAAAATAAAAATAACAAATAGTAAAAAAAAACACAACAATTAAATCTATGCGCATAAGGTATTTCAAAAAACCACGTTCTCCACCTTCTATTTTTATATTATTTTGCCTACATCTTTGTATGTTCTAAATTGATATCATTTAGACACCTTTATTGCATTGTGAGGAATGTTTTGTGCAAGTAATTCGAAAACTTTGTATTATTTGTGAACATGATCATAATTTAAGGTTACAATATTTTTGTAATGGTATAATTTTACTTATCTTTTATAGTTGAAAATAAATATTTTAAATTTATGCATTTAATTTTATTAAATTTTTTTAATTTCTATAATTTAAGATATATATATTTTTAATTCTTATATTTATTTTCTAAATCCCCTTTAATATCTATGATTATTTTTTTATGTAACATCGTCTCTTTTGTACTAATATAGTAGTGAACTTCAATTTTGTGAGAAAAAAATAGTATCTTAATAATTAACTTCTTAGATGAAGGTATAAAAAAACACGAGAAGTTGAGAGACTTAATTTATGGTAGTTTTAATAAAATAAATTTGATTTTACACACAAAGTTGAATTAATGCCTCTGTTACACCAATACAAAAGAAACAATATTATGACAAAAAATAACAGCATAGACTAAAAGAATTAAAAAACTGAAAATATCTATTTCAAATTATAAAGACTAAAAAAGATTAAAAAAATAAATACAAGACTAAAAATATTTATGTTAAATTATAAAAAATAAAAAAATATTTTAATCTAAAATAAATATTCTTCCCTTACAAAATATTCATATGTTGTTCTTTAAAATTGTAATAGTTTTCATAATCTAAATATTATTAAATATTAATTATCATATTATCTATTTAGTTACTAATATTATAACTTTAATGAGTAAAAAATGAATATTCAACGAGTATACTAAAATAACAGATTGAATAAATTATAAAATTAAAATTACACAATTATAAATTAACTAAAATTATAAATTAAATATAATGAGAGGACTAAAATTACAATCCAGCTAAAAATATAACATAACATAAACGGCGATTCACTGATTCATGGACCTACTACATTAAAATTGGGCCTGTTATCGGGCCGAGAACAGAACCTCTTGACCCGAGGCTCCATTGGACCGTTACCAAAACACGCAACTAACTCTCTCCCTCCATGCGAAACTAAAAACCCTCAACGCTAAACCTCGTGCTGCTGCTGCGGAACAAACCATGGCGTGCGTTGAACCTCCAAGGAAGAAGAAGAAAGGACGATACGGCGTCGCAGAGCTGAAAACCCTAGGCAACCAGCTTCTCTCCTCCGCCTCGCACATCAACAACCTCCCTCTCCTCCTCGGCTTCGTTTCCCCTTCTTCCCCTCCTCACCACGTCCTCGAGTCCCTCCTCTCGCTCCACTCCTTCTTCCTCCCTCTCCTCCCCAAGCTCCCTTCCTCCGCCGCGTCCGCCGCCGCTCCCTCCGGCGACGACCAATCCGAGTTCATCTACCTCGCTTGGCTCCGTTCCAAGTTCGACGAGTTCCTCAAGTCCCTCGTCGACGTTCTCGCCTCGCCGCAGTCCGATGAAACGCTCAAGGAACTCGTCTTGGACACGCTCATGGAGTTCGTCAAGGTTGCCAACGGCGGCGCCTTCCACTCTGCTTTGTACCACAAACTTCTCCACAGCATTGTACGTTATGCTAGCTTTATTAATAATTGCTGCTGCTGTTGTTGTTACATTGATCTAATTTTATTTGGATTGATGCTATCAGGTTCACTCCACTAGTTCCGCTACGTTTTTGGTGGATTTACTGGAATTGAAGTATTTCAAGTATATTGATGTTCGGTATGGTTATTTATTCTGCTGGCATTGTTTTTCTATGCGTGCTGTTCATTCACTCCTAGATTCACTGATATGTTTTTCCTGTTTTAGTTTTACTTGCACGAACTTTAGTGCATAGCTAATGTTGATTATGGAGTTTAGTTAGTTTGCTGAATTATCAAGTTACTTGGTGCAGCTATTTTACATATATAAGTCTGAAAAAGCTTGCTAGTACTTTGGAGGGAAAAGATGTCTCAGGTGTGTTTCTAGCCTAGCTTTTGTCTTGGTCTTCTAATTTTTAACATGCAAAATTGTGAACAGGAGGTTTGTGTGTTATTATTTAAATTTCCAACTATTTGAATATTCTTCATTGGATAATTCGTTAGCTTATCCTTGTCAGATGATAAAATTGCAAGTGGAGACGGCACCAATGAAAGTCAATTGAGCTCAAAGTTAGTAAGACCTATAGCCACTGCTTTGAAGCTACTCCTACTCTTTTCTATTTCCTTCCTTTGCCAAGATATGTTTGTAGATCACTGTAGGTGGTTGGCTATCATTAGTGGTAAATGATCATTTTCTTTGGTCATGAACCATGCTTACAACATGCTATAGCCTATAGGCGATAGATTTAGTTTTGCAGCACAGTGCTGTCTAGTGCAAATTTGAAGTTGTAATTTTCTGAATTCTGCCAGGAAGACTTGGTCCAAGTTATAGAACTAGGAAATGAATAATTTAATCTGAATAACCAAATACTGACTCAGTTCTGTTGATAACTTGAAAATCTACTCTTTTTCAGTGTGGAATCTGTCATCTACAATATTTATTACACTATATCACACGTTCCCCCTCTTCAAGGCTCGGATAATACGTCTGATTTTGAAATGTGGAGCAGCTCAGGTGATTGTTTGCTCCTCTACTTTGGTGTATAAGTTATGTACCATAAATCCATAATAAAAATCAGAAGATCTTGACTTTGATCCTTTTGAGGTCTATATACATATGATGCACATGCACTATTTACTGTTTCTCTCTCTCTCTCTCTCTCTCCCCTTAATACTTTGTTCAACATGCTATTTCTTTTTAGATTAAGAAACTCCAAAATTAGTGTAATTGTATATTTGTAATTTGAATTTTTGTCCATAGAAAGTGACCGTACACAGCTTTCTACAGATGTGGATGCTGATGATAAGCCACTGAAGTCCCAAAAGCGTAGCAAAAATGTCGGTTTTTATTCCTTGCTCATTATTCCATACTCATTTCCTAGTTGTTCTCTTACCTTCGTTTAATAAATTTAGATATTAAAGAGCCTTCTCATTTACAAATTTAATGTAATTGTTTGTACACTTTTTCATATTTTACTGTCTACCATATTTTTATTGTTATATGTATATTATGCATAGGTATTGTCTGCTGCCAAAATTGCCAAGAAGATGAAGTTAAAATTTACTAAGGCATGGATTACATATCTTAGATTGCCACTTCCACTTGATGTTTACAAAGAGGTAATTTACAAGTGTATGCTTTTAAAATTTGAATATGGCTGAAACATTATATTCTGAAACATGGTATGAATGTCTTATTTAAGATATCTTAAGATTGTCATGAGATCCAATGTGGGATTGGAAAGGGGGAAGAAGCACAAATTGTGGGATTGTAACACAGATCGTGAGATCCTACTAGAAATACAGTATATATGTGTGTGTGAACAATTATCTTTAAATCACAACCAGCACTTAAACCATCTAGGTACTGATAGTAGCCATCACAATCCATGTTGTTTCCATTGTTAGAATATATAATGAGAATTAAACAAGGACAACTGTTAGTTTGTTGGACCAGTTAAAAGAGACTGATTATAACTTATAAATAGGGGAAATCAGATTGAGGGGGGGCATTCCATGAATTTGATAGTTTATGTAAGTGAAAGGAGATGTCCTTTTGAAGGGGGAATCCTTGGGGAGAATTCTATTCTCCTTTTGCTGTTCCGCTCTTAAAAATATAGTTCTATTATTTTGGTTTTTTCTCTCTATTTTCCATCTCATTTTCTGTTCTGTTCTTCAACAATATTCAGAAGAGAGCAGAGATATTGGTGCACTTTTTGAAATGGGAGTGTCAAGTTCGAAAAGAGGGATTGCTGCATTTGGATGGATGATTAGGGCAATTGTATTTTTTTTTAAATCTGGCTTGTCGAACCTGATATGTGTGTGTTGATGAGTCTGAAACTTAAGAAGTGCCAATCCCTTGATTCTCCATGTTTACCCAACAATTCTATAATGATTCCACTTTTTACACGAGCACAAAAATGGTTTAAAAGTTGTCGGCTCCTACGCTCCTACAAGTGAGATTGGGGTTTTAACAACAATGATCATAATATTTTTAAATATGGTGGCGTGATAATGTTTTTTTGACTTATATGTCATGCCTTGAGAACATTGGTTGCTCTTCTCTTTAAACATTGGGTCCTTACATTATGTGTAAATGTATCTTACCATCGGATACATGGTAAAACTTTTTTATTTCCGTCCTAAATTGAGGACATCCAGTCTTTATTTTTTGGGTGGATGGAAGAAATAATATTGATAAATAAGCAGGCCAGTAAGTTTCTTTAACCAATAGAGGTTCTGGTTCAGGAATCTGGATGTTATTTTTTCTGCAGTTAAGGTGATTTTTTGTATGTACCGTGTCCTTAATGCCCCTCCGATTTTAGCACCATTATAATCTTGAATTACTGTTAGCTAGAAGTCTGATAGATACCCTTTGTTATGACAGTTAATTAGTTAGGTTAGTTGGTCAAAGAAATAAGGCATTAAGGCATGTTGCTTATAAATTAGAAGGGAGGTTAAGAGAGGAGATCTTGTCATTTGTGAGAGGCAATTAGGGCTAGTAAAGATCTGAGTTTCTATCATAGTCCTAGCCATCAGTTCGTCAAACTTTTATTTGTGAATCAGACCTCATAGTTTTAAGCCAGGTAATCACGTGATATATTACTTGCCTAATCTATTTCAGACTTCTTTTGATTTCATTTTAGCCTTTTAGGTTTGTAAAATATGAAGGTGATTGGTAATTGTTTTAGTGTTTATTGACTTATTGTTTATGTGGCATTCTTGTTTTGTGCCTTTGTTTTATATGAATGCAAGTTATGCAACTGCATTATTATACTGCCCCATTTTTTTTCCTTCCTTTTGATTTCCTGAGTTACGTGATTTTTTTTATTACCAGGTTCTTGTTAATCTACACCAAACAGTTATTCCTCATCTATCTAATCCCATCATGTTATGGTAAACATCTACGTTCCACAATGTTTGCAATTTGTTTTGATAACTTGAGAATCTGACATTATGTTACTTTATTTTGTGCAGTGACTTCTTAACAAGATCATATGATGTTGGTGGTGTAGTCAGTGTGATGTCTCTTAGCAGCCTTTTTGTCTTAATGACCCAGTATGGGCTGGAATACCCAAATTTCTATGAAAAACTATATGCCCTCTTAGTTCCATCTATCTTCTTGGCAAAACATCGAGCAAGGTTTTTCCAGGTGAATCTTCATTAATTATTTTTTATGAATAACAATAGGGGTTCTTTGAATTAAAATTAATGCTTTCTGTTCAGTTGTATGAAGGCCATATTAATGACCTATTAAAATGTTATATTGTAATTGTAAATTTTTTATGCTTTCCTATTTGGATAATATTAAGTGAGTTGGGAAGCCAAATTTGTGGAGATTTTATACTTCAATTAAAAGGACGACTAAAGTAAATTTCTGGTTTTAGTCCTCCTTTTATATAAATTAAATCCTAAAACTACTTGCCCATTTTACATCATACTATGCACATCAAATGAGTAACTTCCTCAAAAATAGTGATTAGGTTAGCATCCAAAATATTATGCTCGAACAACTCTTTCTTTTACCTGGTAGAGGAGAAAAAAACTCCATACATATGTGTAATATGGGAAAACCAAGGTGTTGAACATGATTGAGTGATGATGAAAAGATATCCAAATGAACAAGTATTAAAGTGAATGATAGGAAAGATTTTGTTGTTTGTAAATCCTATGCATGTCTGCTTGCTGACGATATTCAATTTCCTAATTGCAGCTTCTTGATTCTTGTCTTAAGTCACCTCTTCTTCCAGCTTACCTGGCTGCTTCCTTTGCGAAGAAATTGAGTAGGTTGTTGCTTTCAGTTCCTCCTTCAGGGGCATTAGTTATTACAGCTCTAATTCACAATATTTTGCGTAGACATCCTTCAATCAACTGTTTGGTGCATCGGGTAAATACAATTTCCTTTCATTTGTTTTTTGTTTAGTCCAATGCTTAAATTGTTGGTTTCTATTTTCTGAATGCATCTTCAGTAGTGATGTTATTAGATCACGTGAAATTATTAGGGAGCTAGGGAAAGAGAGCAGTGATCTTGAAATCATAGTTGGTTGGCTCCATTATAAGCTCGCTTCTCCATTTGGAAGACAATATGTCATGTTCTGGAATCTGGACTGAATTGACTTGTCTGTTTGTTTCAAGTTATTGTAGTTCACTAGTTTAGTATGAGGTTTAAGTCTTTGTGAATTGTAGCTTAACCATGTAATGGCCGCTGGGATATGTGATAAAAATGATTAGCTGTGGTGCTGCCAAGAACAGAAGATTAGGGTGCTTTAACTTTTAAATTGATTTTGACCTGGCTTGGACAACCATATATTCAGATTATTTTTTCCCCTGTAGAGTAGATGATTGGCATTGTCTGATTGTTTGCTTCTCAATTTTTTATTTCTTTTTTGGGGTAGCTAGGACACTGGAATCTTGGTTAAGGATGGTCTAACAGGGTTGGGGACTGAATGAGTTGGTCTTATACAGAAAATGATTAGAGAAATACACAGGTCTAGGAAGAGCAACTTTGTAAAATAGAAGGCCTACAGAATAGTACTGTCCTTATCTCTTTTATATGTTAAGGGAGGGAATGCATGAAGGTACAAATGCGTTGTGTTCACCTTTACTTCAGCTGTCATAATAATTTCAGCTCTGGGTTTCCCTAGGAGACTGGTCACTGGACTTCTAATATAGCCAATAGCTGTTTTTTCAACCATTAACATACATTTAGAATGGACTTTGCAAAGTGGAATTGTACTTGTCAATAAAGTAATTACGAACTTTATTCTCATTTTTTTTATCAGTTTCTTCTTTAGTTGTGTTTCTAATGTCAAAGTTCACAATATTTGTTCCTCTCTTTGCAAAATGGTTGGGATATTTCTGTTGAAGTGTTGAAAAATATTTTTTTTTCCTGTTTTGATTGAAATTTTAATTTCTAAAATATGAGCAGGAAGATGGTGTTGATGAAGGGAAAGGTGATAATAGTGCAGATGAAGTAATGACTCCTAACTCGGATAATGCCAATGCTGGTGCCGTTCCGTGCCAGAAATCAGGCATCGACCATTTTAACAGTAGCGAAACTGATCCTAAGAAGTCGGCTGCAATGAGTAAATATCTTCTTCATCTATTATCAAATCTAACTTGAGTCTATTTTCTTCCACAAACCCAACCTTGTGAGTGCTGGAAAACTGAATGATTGTTTTATCTCTTCATGACCTGTATAAATTTTACATTTATACATTAATTTTATGTTTAAATAAACATAATATATTAAAGTTTGATCAGAATGGGAGAATTTCGATTTGCCAATTGTGGGGTTGAACCAATTTTACCAAATGACTATTCTACATCGGATCCCATAGTTCTATTACGTATTTAAGGAAATAAAGTTACATAGTTAACTCTTGGTGCTAGAGTCACCTTCTTTTTAATTTTTTTTCCTGGTCATCTATATTTGTTTTACTGATGAAGATCTCTTGGTGCAGGGAGTTCTCTTTGGGAAATTGATACTATTCTTCACCATTACTGTCCTCCTGTCTCACGGCAAGTGTTTTGACCTTGTTGCTTTACTCCCAGTTTTCCTTTTCTTCGTTTCACAATTTTATTTCAACTTTCATATTTAGATTTTGACATATTACCTTAAATGTGACTTGCTTTGCTTGTGCTTTTAGGTTTGCTTTGTCTCTCGGGAATGATTTGACAGTCAGGGCCAAAACAAGTGAAGTTAATGTTGGCGATTTTAGTGCCGGTTCATATGCTACAATCCTAGGAGCGGAGGTGATATAATAATTGCTCTAATTTTCTTCACTTCTCGTGATGTGCTTATGCTGTTTAAATTATAAGTGGAAGTAGAGAAAGATGTGCATATTGTTAACAACTTTTGTCATTGCAGATATCACGGAGAGTAAAGCAGGTTCCCCTAGCATTCTTCAAAGCAACTCCTTCCTCTTTGTTTTCAGAGACTGATTTTGCTGGTTGGACTTTCAAATGTGAAGAAACCCCCGAAATGATCAATGACAATAACGAGAAAAGTACTAAAGATTTATCGTAACGAGAATGCCGTCCCGTAAATGGCACTGAATAGAGTGCTTGCGGTTCATTTTTGTCCACCTCGGAAATATGTCTGCTTGTTTTGTGAAGATATGTCACTCGTTTGATTTGTTTATTTATACTTGAGGAAGCATAAAGGAAGATGAGGGGCCGCCTGGCGACATGTTAGGGTGCACTTGCGGCTCATCATTGGAGCATAAACTTAACCGGATATTTATTTATTAAATTGAGGTGATAGATGTAATCTGAAGATAATTTTAGCAACATTTTTTTAATGCAGTAAATTGATTTGTTCCTCACTCTAGTAGAACATTATTCGGATCATTTATTAAGTCGCGTGGTATAACTCGGCAAGGTTTCTGCCGATTAAAATTTATGCCTTCGAGTTCGAAGAGTCGGAGGTGTACAGAAAGGAAAGAAAAAAACTTTTTTACACTTGAGCATCTTTTTCATTTTTTTTTCCTTTTCATTATATTTGGTCGGTCGAACAAGGTGTTTCAAGTATGCGAACAAGTTAGACAACTTCACTTGATCACTGCTAAAATCTGAATGCAGTGGATCACATCGGGGGGTGAGGTGAAAACACTCTTAAGACTCAAATTAGCAAGTATTCTAGAGTGAAGGGGAGGTTCCAAGTGAGTGCTAATATTTTAGCGGAGTGTTTTTTACTTGATCTGTGGATTGTTTTTGGGTGTTGATATTGATAACCAGTAAAACATTACACGGTTTACTATCTTTAATTGTTTGGTGGGCATTCAATCATTTTTTTTTTTAATCAGCGAAGACGTAATATTAGATGGGAGGAAGAACAAGATATATTCCAACTCATACACGTAAAAAATTCCTGTAGAGTTTTTCAACATAATTACATATTTTTTGACCATTCGAAAAAGGAGGAAAAATATCTAAATTTAATTAATTTCTGATATCACTTTTTTGAAGACTATTATTTCTTTGCATCCATAAAGTTATACTGATCCACATCACACAATCCACCAAGCTCTTGTATATTCTTTTCCGGTAAGGCAATAGTAATATCTTAGAAAATGATTCCTATGGTCCTCATGTATCACCACTTGAAACTCTAACCCCTTGTGATATTGTTTTTAAATAGACGGATAGAAAGCATGAAAATAAAAGGTGACAAGTACATTTCTCCACTTGATAGCAGAATGAGCATGAGATATCCGGGGTGCCCAACTTAATGTTTCTCCATCCGTAGTAGCAACCCCTTGTTCATGTATAATTGTATTGCATATTTGATTGAGTAGTCACTTGGATTATCTTCCTTCCATATCAAATATTGACCAAAGTGTCTTGCAACAGTTTCTTGATAATTGTTTTAAAACCACTCCCTTCATCTTAAATTTAACTTCCAGGAGTGTGTCAAGAAAATTTGAGATTTTAGACAAATTTTATTACAAGTTATGTTTTAATATATCTCATTATATTTATTTAATTATTTTAACTTTTTGAATCGAAATTTTTTAATTAAATTTTAATAATTAAATAATTTAAAAATCTTAGTGATAATTTATTTGATCATTATCTCGTAACATATATAGTTTATATCAATTGAATCTAAAAAAGATATAATTTTAAAAAATTCTTTTGCAGTGATAATGATTGTAAAATTTTTAAATTATTCCATAAACATGTAATTTTTTTTAATATAGTTTAATATTTTTAATAAGATATTTTTTTTATTAGTGTTTCTTTGAATATTTTTAATTTAGAAAACAAGTAAATACTACTAATATCAAATTAATGCTTACCAATCAATATTGGTTATCACAAATGTTAGCTGTTTGTGTGTCTTAACGAAAATATTTAGAGTTTGAATCCTGATCTTAGATATAAAATAATTTATATTGGGAGGAGGAATATCCACCTTGTGTGCATTCACTCCTATTAGAATTGATGTAAAAAATTCAATTTAATTTCATATTTTAAAATTTGTTAAAATATGTTGAGTTTAAGAAAATAAAATTATTTAATATATACATAAAATAGTCAAAAATAAAACATGTCTAATGAGAAAAAATATATATTAATCTTTAAATAATGAGTGATTTTATTTCTGTTACTTTCATCAAAATATTTTATTTATCAATGATACTATTTTTATGAAATTTAATTGGTATATTCATTTTAATGAATTCAAATAAAGTAAAGAAAGTTATTCTAATTAAAAAGTAAAAAATTATTAAAAATAAAAAAGGAAAAGATTAACAAAAAGTAAGTGAAACTAATCCATTAAATCATACCTATATCTACTATTATGATATTTAGATTTGATAAAGATTAAATTCGAACAATGATTTTTTTTTTAATTTTTTTAATACTTTTTTGGTTTAGATTCCTTAAGAATATGTCGATATTTTCAATTAAATCTTCTTGTTCCTGAAGGTCTTGTTTTAAAATTTATTTTTTTTAGGAGATCCTCTAATGAACCATGTCAATATTCTAATTATTAGAATATTATACCCCTCTGTTTTCTTTTTTAATTATATCTAATTGCTTTGTTCGAAAAAAGATACAATAATTTATTGTAGCGGATATAGTTTAGTGATAAAAGTGCGATTCGTTCCTTGGACCCCTTTATAGTTAAGGGATCTCCAGGTAAATCCTTAACCCTTCCCCCTCTTACTAAGACTACATAATATTTTTGTAAATTATGACCAATACTGGATATATAAGCAACAATTTCAAATCCAGAGATTAAGCATACTCTGACAACTTTATGTAAGACAAAGTTTGATTTTTTGGGTAGGATTTGCAATGGTAGGGGAATTGGATATAAAAAAAGAGGAATTTTAATTATAAAATATCTAATAAAACGGTCACTGAAATTGAGATCTCATTTAAAAATAAAATATTTGAAATTCCATTTTTATATTATATGGTAAATATTTATCATGTTGACTAATTTTTTTTAATCAAAAGAAGTTATATTATTTTATTGATATGAGAGCATTAATACATGAAGTAATCACATTAAAACTACAATAACTAGCATAAAATTTAGACATTCTGATAAGTGAAAGAGTAACTTAATTACCTTTTCTATAAACAAAATTAATTAACAGCGTAATTTAAGCTTGATAGATATTAGATAGGTTCAAGACATAATTGATTGCCTTTACACCTGCCACTTGTTTACTATCTAATTCAAAAATAACTAGATGAAGAAATCGATTTTGAATCCAAGAGATAGCAGTCATTGAAATTATATTATAATTTATTTATTTTTGTCACGTCGAAATCAAATAATTTTATAATATGTATATATATTTTTTTAATTTTTTATCTCTTATGTTTTTTACCTCCACGAAAAAGGTGGAACAGAACAAGTAATTTGTTTTGCTGGCTTTACGACTTTACCTCCATCCAAACATGTAAGCCGTTACGGATGGATTGGGTTGTTGCGTCACTGTCGAAAAGAGAAGCCTGTCTGAGTGAACCCCAAATGCAAATGACGTGGAGCTTCATTTGGCTCCTCACAACACACCGCACAAAATCGCTATACATTCTGAGTTTTTGTTGGTTGTTGGCATTCAAAGGGCCACACCTTCACCTTGTGGCTCTCATTCCATCCCTCTCTTTTTCTCCCTTCCTTCACTCCTCAGTCCTCACTCTCTTCATGCGCCGTCGCACGCTATAATTCTTCCTCCAGTAAGTTACTTCCTTCCACCATTTCTCTCCATTCGCTAGGGTTTTCTCATTCACTGTGCTTCAAGTGCCATGCTGTCGGCTTTTTTGTTTTTTTGGGATCTATCATGTTCCTCTTTCAATTGTTCGGCTTGTCAATTCTGAGTGAAAGTTAATTCTCGTATTTGTGATAATTAGTTAGTTTTGAACTTAGAACTTGAAGTCTTTATCATCGCAGCAGTAGTGTTGACGCTGTTCAATGTTTACTTCCCGATATTGGAAAAGGGTGAACAGCATTTTGATCTGCTTTATGGTTTTTCTATCAATTCACCATCCTTAATTTTATATAAACAATAAAATAAAATTCACTGAGCTTATTGTTTTGGACCTTGTATTTCAGGCATTTGACTTATCTTCCCTGCGTTAAAATTTTAGGTGTCTGAAATCAAAATAATGGAAATTGTGATCATAACCATGGTACTCGAAGTATGTTGCTTTGAATAAGATGATTGATTATCTGGATTTTTGAGACTTGACAGCTAATTTAGCTGAGTTTCACTTTATTAAATAGATGCTCTTTATGAGAAACGTTTGGATGAGGTTAAGTACATGTAACCTAAGAAGGCATGCTTACTCTTGACGACTCTTTTTGGAACTTGAACGTTCAAAATTCATAGCATTATGATTGCAATAAGTAATCCTTTACAAAATGATATAGACTTCAATACTTTTAACCTGTCTAACTTACTTTTAATAGAGTATGTATGGAGCTTTTTGTTTATACATGTCTTGATTTTCATCAAATAATGATGATGGTACAGTCTTTAATAACTATGAAGGGTTTCTGGTTATTCTTGTCATTTTTGTCAATCAATCCTCAAATTGTATGTTTCAGAATACAAATCATATCTTGTAATATGCCTCCTGTAGAATGGAAGCTGTGATCAGAAAAGTACTTGTTGTAAAGTCCATAACTTCAATCTTAATTTTATATGACTTCATTCTGTTTTTGTTGTTTTGCTACAGAATTGAGATATTTAAAGTGAAATGAAGGCCAGGCCTATCTCATTCTTCTCTTGACCTTTCTGATGGCACTTGCTGCAAACAAAGTTTCAAGCAGTCCTATTGTAACTAATAGAACAGCTATTTGTAGATCACATGAAAAACATTATTTTTCTTTGTCAAGAAGGATCAATAGAATACAGTTGTCAAGACAGAGACTGGAACATGGACATCTGAACCATAGATTTCTCCACACACAGAGATCAACCTTATCCAATGACTGGTTTTGGTTCGATAATGGAAAACCAGTTGGTTTGATCTCCAAGAAATCTTCTATCTCATGTAAATCAACAGGAGCAAATAATACCGAAGAGAAAGAATGTATTACATCTTATGATGATGTTTCTGATTTAACAAGGTAAGAGAATTAAATATAGATGGTAAATTGGTAATCCATCTGTTACAATTTTTCTGCTGTTTCCTAATTCTGAACCTGTACCCCTTAATTATTAATGTCTTTCAGTTGCCAATTTGTCAAACTAGCATATATCTTTCTCATCCTTTTGACAATGACTTGTAATTTTATTACAATAAAATATTTGAGGATTCAAACTTACATATTAGAGATCCTTTCATATATTTATGTACAGGGCAAATGCCAAAGACGAGAAAAATGATCACATTCTTGTTGTTCATGGCTTGGCTGATGCTTGTAGATTTGTTTGTAATGATGCAAAGTTTCTCTCACGGTACTGCCAGTAACCTGGTTTTTGTCTTATACAAAGAATATTATTTTTGTTTGAAATGTGCTTCTACAACTGTTCATCAGTACGCTTTATATGAACTGCAGAGAATCCTTTAGTTGGAGAACTGTTGGTTATCACTATCCAATCAATTACTCAGTAAACCATGTTTAACTGATCTAGATATTTTAGTAATCATGACATGGGGAATTGTAACATGGAATGTCTCTGACTGACTTACATATGTTATTGTCGCTTCATTTCATGTAATTATATTTTACACCATTAAATATCACTCATACCAGAAACAACAATAATATAAAATTGTCTTGATGTAAAGAATAACTGTTAATTATTTGTTTCCTCAGTGGCATAATGAGGCTGGATGCTCGTGCTCGCCAAGATGTTGCTTTTCTTGGGACTGAATTTCTCAAACTTGATGGTTAGCTCACTTACTTAAAATATTGTATTATTGTACTTTAAATAATAATTTTCCAAATATATACACTACAAGTCATTGCATTTCATACACAAGGACAATAATATCTCCCCTTTACTCCTCACCCTTCCCCTCTGCCCAACATAAAGAAAGGAAGAGACAAAGAAGTCAAACAATATAGCCAGTGTATCAAACCAGCATCTGTAGTTCAAGAGACTATATAATTCCATCATAGTGAATTGGTGATTACTTATTGTAATTCTCCTTTTTCTACATTTGTGTTGAACTTCTCTTCCTATGACTTCCCTTTTCTAAAGGGGAAAGTTCAAGAGATGTACCTTCATTGATGATTTATTCATATATTCCTGTTATAGGGTCAACTTACATTTACTTTTATTTTGTTGCATAGCTCGGGCAAGAGAGGATACTGAGAAAATTGACCGTGATGTCAAGGAAAAAGCTAGCTGGCTTAATCGTATTGCTACTGTCTGTATCATCTAGATCTTTAAATTTGCTGGTTGAAGATGAAGGATATACATTGGTGGTAAAATGATTCTTTTTGTTTATTTTATATTATACACTCTACAGATATTGAAGGATAAAGCTAAGTCCAGATTGAAAAATGCTGCTGATGAGCATTGGAGTGATGGGGCCTTAGAGGTAAATCTGTTCATTTAATCTTAGTTTTCATCTACATGATACTATTTGTGGTTACTTTGATATAAGATCAACAGTAACAAAATTTGCATCATGTGATGTTTGTCCTTTTTATTTTGCTCATATCCTTGCCTCTACTTATTTTGCTCATACTAGACAAAATTGGATTAAGAATAAATACATTAGAGAGAAAGTTAGGATAGCACCTATTGTAGAAAAAAATGGTAGAAGCATGTTTAGAGAAGACCTGTAAAAGCACTAGGCAAGAGAGCATATTAGATGGAGGGTAGCTCAATCAATAGAAGTAGAGGGAGATCAAGAAAAACTGTTAGTGAAATCATGAAGAAGGATTTAGAGGTCTAGACATGATTTTCAATAGAACATATGGCTACTCCACCTAGTGGGAAAAAGCTTGTCCATTTTTGTTGTTGTTGTTGTTTTCCCTATCATTATTATTTCTATTAGTTATCATTTAGTGTTGATTGTTGAAAAAGAAAGTGTTACAAGATATCTTAAAAATAGACCTGTTTTTTCTTTTCCACTGAACATAATGTCTTTATTTAACAAAGGACTAAACTCAGTTGTGGACATAAATGAAAAATTTAAGACATGGTATTTTTCTATGTGATTATTAAGGGTTGGCATCAGCACACCTTGGGAGTGGCATGATAATAGGAACCTTGAGAGAAGTAGAACCACACCACAAAAGCTACCCATTTTATTTGGAGAGCTCTAGCCCTTATAAACTCCACATTAGAATCTTTTACTTCCGATGTGGCAACCAAACCCCTTGCTAGCAATTGCATCTTAACACATAATCGCTAAAACATTTTCTGGGACACCTATAAAATACTTTTCTAACACATTTAAGACAAATTGACTAGGCAAAACTTGATGTTCAATCTTCCCAAGCAATTACTTATTAAATTAAATTAAAAGTTAATATAATATTTTGATATTCTGTATAATCTGTTAAGAAATGAAATTCATCTGAAGCCATTATAGTAACTCAAGCAATTGCAAAACCTATTTCCATGCTCTCAAATTTCTTATAATTCAAAATATTTTGTACCACAGCAAGGTATACAAATTTAACACAATGTACTTTTCAGAAAAGATAAATTGCAAACCATTTGATCTATAACTTGTTTTTTTTTTATTTTATATTTTTGCTTTAACTTATCTATGTACTATCAACATGTAATTACTGTTAATGCTTGTTGGAACTACCAAAATAATTTTTGTGAGGAGATTTTAAGGCCCATTTGTTTTAAAGTTGGGTATAATTTTTTTTTATAGGAATTTAAAACATTGAATGTAGTTGAGATGGTGCCCAGATTAATCTCCACCATAGATTTTACATTGGAACGTGTGCCAGTGGGAGGAATTGATTCTGGTGTTATATCAGGCACTTAGATGGTGTTTGTATCTCAAGTTTTATATCATTATCATCTGATCCCAATTCTGTGTAAAATATATATACAATAATATATGTGGAATATCAAATGATTCAGTTTAAACCTTCAAACCATGGACTAAATAAAATATTTCTTTTCAACTGAACCTAACAAAACTGCTTAGTTTCTTTTATAATTGTTTTTGTTTTTATAGATGCTTCCTATTTCATGTAGATCTTTACATGGATCGCTGGAATTGGATCCTTTTGCAAGTTTATATCATGAAAATACAAGAGTTGCTAATTGCTTATAATACATTTGAATAGCTAGAAAATACAAGACTTCCATTGACATTACTTTTAAACTGTTAGGCTGATTTACGTCTTGCTGACTTTCGTGCTAAGCAACGTGCAATGGAAGATGCCCTTATGGCCTTGGAGGTGATGTTTAATGCTCTGCAAGTGTTTTCTATTGAACTTTCCCACACACACACAAATTAACAGTTTGTGATCCCTGCAGCCATTATTCTGCATATGCTATAATAAATAATAAATATGCTATGCAACTTATTTCATAATACCATGCTCATTTTTTTTGAAGCTCCATAGGAATAAATTTATTTTCTATTATGTAACATTGCAGCTTATCAAAAACATCCATGACATGATGGTGAGCAAGATGTATAACTTGTAAGTCAAGCAACTTCAAATGCCTGCTTGCTTATATATATACAAGTTCTAAAATGTTTCATATGATGTTGGCATGCAGTCCTCTTCGCAGAGATAAAGGATCTCTTTCAGAAAATAATGTAAGAGGTCGAATAATGCTTGAAAAGAATGGAAAAACCACAAATTCCTTTCCTGGGGATGTGAGCACAGAAAGGATAGCTGCTCTTCAGGTCTTTGTTCTTTTCCATTTTGTTCTAGTTCTGTTATAACCCAGTCCCCCTAAATCAATTGAATCAGGAAACACATCAATCATATTGTAAGATTTTGAGACGTACAGGAAGCTTACTGGAGTATGGCATCAGCACTTTCTGAAGCAGATGGAATCGATTACACTGATCCTGAAGAGGTTTGATTCTCCATTAAATTTTGTTTCTGTCTGATCTCAAATTCTCAATCATTATTTATGTAATTAAAATTACATACTCTTTTCTACTGGGGCAGCTTGAGTTGTTGATCAGAACACTTATAGATCTGGATGCAATGGATGGTAAACTAAGTGTATCTTTGTTGGCAGAGTGTTCTAGTTCCCCTGATGTCAGCACAAGGTAAGTTACCGTGATATTACAATCCTTCAAGGAGTTCAATTGCATCCTGAATCAAATTCTTTGTTTTAAAAATTTCTGTCAATATTAACTAGTAGGAAGCTTATTTTGGTAGTGCTTTCACACACCATGATGATCATTGCATGGTTGTTGGCTTCGTGATTTGATATTGTTTTCTTTGATTAAAATATGTTCATCGTTCTGTCACAGTTATGACATTCTTATACTGAATTAGAATTTCCCTGACATTATGCAATATTGGATTTGATCAAATGATGTAATGGTAAAAAAAGATTAATTAATGATGTAAAGCTTTTCATGAATACTCTGCTTCAAAAGAGAGAGAAGTGTTAACAACACTTTTTTTTTTTTTTTTTTTGGTTCGTCCCTGGAGTATTCACAGCCGATGTTAACAACACTTTTTGACACACTCTTTTATTTTTATATTGGTTGACTTCTATTGAAAATCACACAATTATGTGGGTTCCACATTTTATTTAATGATTCTCTATCCTGATTTTGCAAGTTTTAATGAATTTCAACCAATGGAAAAGAGTGTTACTAATACTCCTCCTATAGAAATATATGGTAATAACATGGAAATAGATCACTTTCGAAAATAAAACTACCAAATAAAGAACATGCACGAATGCAACTTTAATCAATACCTTATTATGCTTTTCCTTTTTTTTTTTTTTCTTTTTCCTGTTTTGTGTGGGCTTTTTAATATGTGCATTGTGTCATTTGCATTTTTCTAGGCGAGCTTTAGCCAATGCACTGGCGGCAGCACCATCCATGTGGACTCTTGGAAATGCAGGGATGGGGGCATTACAGGTGGGTGATTATAATTTATTGCGAGAAGTACTTTTGACAGGCACTATAGTTTCATTTTCCCCCTTTTGATAGGCAATATAACTTCATTTTTCCTTTCGGTTTGTGTTGCAGAGACTGGCAGAGGATAGCAACCAAGCCATTGCTGCTGCGGCATCCAAAGCCATTTATGAACTGAAAAAACAATGGGAAATAGAGGAAGGCGATAGCTGGAGGTTTATGATGGACGAAAACACCATGGAACAAAAAGGAAGCAGAGAATCTGATAATGAAGATACCAAATGAGAAATATTTGAAACATTTGTACTGTATAGCATAGTTGCCTCCCAAGTATACTAACTAGTATAGGATTAACCCACGCAATCCCTAGAAAGAAACTATTGTGCCAGTGTAAGAAGCCAATATGTTGGTTATGTGCATCATAAAATGCAGAGCTTTCCTCACATATTCATTAAATCATAGATGCACATTTGTGCTTATATTTGTTTGTATGAAAGACCGATGCGAACTCAATGCTCAATTGCTCTTTTATCTGCGACAGCACTGAAGTTGGGCCGTTTATTGTTCTACTTTATATGATGGAGGCATTTTAAATGCTTCATACAAGGACCACTAGGGTTAGCCTAGTAATTAGGTGAGGAGGGGTTGGGATAGTTAAAACATGAAGACCTAGGTTTAATCTTCATTACAACTATCTTTGTAATCTTTCCTATTTTTACAAAAAAAAAAAAAATGTTTCATACATGCCGCTTGTAGGTAGTAGAATCAACTATCAAGGTTGTTTAAGCATTTGCATATACGTGCCAGCAATTTCTTTCCTTGATGTTTGATAATTTGAATATTATTAGATGCAAGAATTGTTGCTATTCATTGTTGAAATAAACGTCAATTGAGATATGGGTTTTTGTTTTACTCTCAGTATGTGAATGTGGCTGAACATTTTATTGGTTTAGATGTATACTATCTTCGTGTCTTTGGCACCATAAACCTACATGCCAAGAAAACTGTTGATCATAAACAACAATTACACTTAGCTGCTAGCGTTGCTCATAAATCATAACCTACCATGTCGGCTAATAGGATAACTATGATATCAGGTTTCATTTTGGAAGTCGTCGTATAGTTGCCGCAAAAAATTGTTGAGATAGAATCTCTTGAACTAAAAATGTCCAGCCTAAAAAGAGAGTAGCTTCTAAAAAGATTGTGATTAAAACAATAGGGTACTCTTCACTATAGATTGAAAGACCACATGAAAGAGTTGGCCACAAAATTACACATTCTGTGGTTAGTTATTTGATTATAATTTCTTTTTATTCTATAGAGTAACTAAATTAATTTCATCCCTGAAGGAGGTGCTTTGGGCGCATGTGGGGCACCCGTTGTTCTTTTATGTCACGGTTTCAACAAAATGCTAATCATAGTTCCCGGCTGGTAAACGTGGCATAAAGATGTCTTCACCATCCTCTAATTTCATTAAGCTATCAGTTGGTAAGATATGATTTGATTATTTCATTAAAAATCTCTTTGCATCTTAAATCCAGGAATGAACTTTTAAAGAAAGCCGGGACCTAAAAAGCAAAAGGTGTAGTAGGCAAGACCATGATCCCACATTACATTATTTCCAATCTTTATTCATACAAAAGACCTTAAATCACTATCACAGCCCCCCAATTTTATTCAATCCCTTCCCTCCTTTCAACTCACTTTTTCTTTTCAATTTAGCCTTTTCATCATGCCAACCACTGTTGACACCCTTGTTCCATCATTCCTGCCCTTCACTTTAAATTTTTCAATAGAAGAATCCCAAGTCACCCACGATTCCTTATGATGCTTTCTCTTTCAACATAATACATGTAAACAGTAAACATAAAACTTCTTATTAGAGAGTATTATGCGGAAACGCCTAGCTGAAAAATTTGATAGAGTATAATTATTCCAGTAAAAACTTCAACGAATTTGTAAAGCCTAAACTTCATTAATTGAAGCAATGATAGTAATGTGAAAAGGACGAGGGATTAAGGAAAAAAACTAGTACATAATTTTGTTTAGAAAATGATAACTATTGAATAATGAAATGTAGAAGCTTATGCCGTTGCTAAGAAGAGCGTATGTTTAATTAGTACTAAGGGTGGTGGGCCAAAGTAATATGGGTATGACCTACTAGCCATTTTCATGTGTTGTGGTGGGGACCATCATGCGCGTGGAGTGGCCCAACCCAAATTCATGGAACAACAAGGACTGTCTTCTGTTTCTTTTCTTTTCTTTTTCAGTTTACATTTCTCTTTAGCTTTTTGCTGGTTGTGTCTTGAACGAGTGCGTGGACGACCCAAACATTTACATATGAGTAACTCTCATTTGTGAAGTGAAACTTCTCGGTATGTATTTATAAGTTGTTCCACTGTCTTTCCTAACGTTGGATAATCAAATAGAAGGGAAATATATATATTTAAATACATAATTCAAGCTTCAGACAATTTTTAAGAGAAATCTTGTTCTTACCCTAAACTTACATTAGCTGTTTTGTTTTACTTAATATTATTAATGTTGTAAGACATTAGGACAAGAGTAATGGTGAAAATCTTTTACATTTTACATTAATTCTTAAGTTTAAATTTCATTTTTATCACTGTATAAAATAAACTGTTATTTTTGTTTATAAAAAAAATACTTAAAAAATATATTTTAAATAATTTTTAACCAGTGGATGAAATTTGATAATTTATGAAAATTAAACTCATTATGATAAATTAATATAAAAAAGACACTCCGTATTTTTGTATATTTTATTATTTTATTTTAAAAAATAAATAATAGAGGTGAAACAATAAGGAATGATTTCAATTGGAGGGTGTTAGTAATTTAGAGTAATTATATAGAAAAAATAGGATAAAAAGTATTCACACCAAAATCATCTTGTATTCCTTTTTTTTTATAAATTATATGTCTATGTATTTTGTTTAAAAATAAAAAAATATAAAAAAAATAATAGAAATATAACAATAGTGATTAATTTGTAGTTACCATTGTAAGTGATTTTGGGATAATTATAAAGATAAAATAAAAAAAAAATGTGTACATCAAAATCATGCACATTTTATATAATAGATTTAATATATAATATATAATATAAGTTTAATTAAAATGCAAGTTAACTATGATTTTTTTAATTAGTTGATTTAAGTTATACGGTCTTTAAACTCTGTTTAATCATTAGTTTCTTTAAAAACCAAGTTTAAGCTGTGTTTTTTATTTTTGTTTTTTTTATTTTTATTTTTTTTTATCAATATATCTGAGGTAACTTTTAATTGATTGCTTAGTGTTATTATGGTACTTGATGTTACTGATGGTATTTTCCTTGTGAAAATATTTTCCCCTTGGGTGTATGTCATGCATCCAAACGAATACGCTAATCTCACACCCCCACTTCTCTAATTCCAAAGCGTGCATTCATTTTGGAAGCATAAATGAGCATAATAGAATATGGTGCGACAGATCAAAAAGAGTATACATGCAATAATAATCCTAGCAGGTTATTATCATGTCGGGTAGCCCCAGAAACAACCTTGGATAAAATAAAATATAATATTACGATCAAAGTCACTGAGGAGATCCACTTTAGTCCAATTCCTAAAGGTAATTATCAACGGTGCATATCACTGATACAGTGACTGATTCCACTAGCACGTTTCTCAGACTCTGCCTTCTCTTGCCAATTACTCATTCCTTAAGAAAAACACTTTTCTTCTGAATCTGTTTTCTATTCTATTTTCTGTTGTGCGTCTTTCTTCTTTCCCAATATCTCTACAGTGTCACATGCACACACAAGTCACAAGAGAAAACATAGGTTGCAAAGTGGAAACATCTATGGCTACCAACAAGTTTGCAACCATGTTGCATAGGAACACCAATAAAATGGTTGTGATTCTAGTCTATGCAGTGCTTGAATGGCTCTTGATTGCACTTCTCCTCCTAAACTCTTTGTTCAGTTACCTCATCTCAAAATTTGCCAAATGTGTTGGCCTCCAACCACCGTGTCTTTGGTGTTCAAGGGTTGATCATGTCCTTCAGCAAGAGAACAGCACAAAGTTGCACAAAGATCTCGTGTGTGAGGCTCACGCAGCTGAGATTTCAAAGCTTGGTTACTGTTCAAATCACCAAAGACTAGCGGAAACACACAGCATGTGTGAGGATTGTTTGGCCTCTCGGCCAAACCATCATGAGAACTCCTTTGGAATGAGACACAGAATCGCTTTCATTTCGTGGGTGAGTGGTCATGGCAAACATGAAAATGGTGATGACATGATAAGACGGTGCTCTTGCTGCAATGAGAGCTTGAGCAGCCAGCTTTACCCTCCTTATTTGCTGTTGAAGCCTTCTTGGGGCGATAAAGGGTCATTGATTGTGGAAGACTCAATGGATGATGAAAAAGAAGGTGGTAAGGACCTTGAGTTTGAGAGACACAATGAGGAAGATCATGAGGTAGATGAGCATCAGATACTTTCTGATATTGAAAGTTTTATCCTCAGAGAGGTGGCTGAGGATCGTTCCAGTTCTGTTTCAAATTTGCATTCGGATGAAAAGGATGGAGAAAAGGATGAGAAGGAGGATGATCTTATCATTACTGAGGTTGATCCAAGTGCTGATGAGAACTTTGTTTGTCAATTCACTTCCTCTACGAAGGGTTCACACTGGGAAGATAGATCACTTGAAGTCATCAATGTGAAATTTGAGAAGAATGACATGGCTAGTGGTAGCCACCGTTTGGTACCTGTTGAGTTAATAGACTCTGTTACCTCTTTGAATTTTGGAACATGGAAATTGGATCAGGATCTTGGGGAAAGGGAGCAAGGGACTCAGACTCACACCTTTGAAAATGAGTCACCAATTGAAGCACAATTAAGTATCTCAGAAAGAGAAGGATTATTACTCACAATGAATGAGAATGCAGAGAAAACAAGCATTAGAGAGCTCGAAAGCTTGGAAGATTCTATAACTTTGGAACTTGAAGATTTGAAACAGAATTCAGTAGACGAGGTCCATCTACAAGGGATTACTGCTGGAGAAAATGATGTCAAAAGTGTTGAAGGAGTCACCAAAGAACCGGATGATACACAAGGTACAAGGAAGTGCTTGATTTGTAGAATTTCTGGTACTTTATTTATTCACAATAGTGTTGTTCACGTTTCCTATTTTTTATTTTTTATTAAAGTCAGTGCTTGAGAAAACAAAAGGGATAGTGCGCTTCTGTTGAGTGATCTTATTACCTATGCCGTGACTGTAAAAAATCACAAGTTTTTGGTCATGCAGTTGATCTGCCTCAATCTCAAGAACCAGTCTGCTCTAGTGAATGTACACAAGAAGATGAATCTTCATCAAGTGATGATGATGCTGAAATTCAAAATGCCTTTGATGAATTTATTGCTCAGAATAGTCTTAGTAAGACCAATGATATTGATAACAACAGTATGGAAGCAGCTATTCAAGAACCAGAAAATCTACAAGGTAGATAGAAGTACATTAATTTTAAGGATCAAACAATGTCCCTTTGCATTTGTGTTGTTTTTTGTCTCGTAGTTGGCTGGTTCATTAATAGTGATCCCGTATTTATAAACATAAAACTTAATTTAGCATACATAACATAAGAGATTATTATTTAAACGTTTATGACTTCAACATTTTCTCACACAGATAATATGCCTGCATCTGAAGAACCAGCCTGCTCTTGTGAATGCATATCTGAAGATGAATCTTCTTCATCAAGTGATGATGATGCTGAAGTTCAAAACGCCTTTGACAAATTTATCACTCAAAATCATCTAAGTCAGTCTCAAAGTTTATCTAATGATGATAAAAGTATAGAAGCAGATATGGAAGAACCAGAAAATACACGAGGTACAAAGAAGTGCATGAATTCTGTTGTTTCATGCCTCCTAGTAGGCTAGTTCATTAATTATGATCCCATATGTAGTGGAAAAAATTTACTTAATTTCGAATACTTGAAAGACTATGTTCTAAACATTGATTTCAACATTTGCTCACATGGCTAATCATTCTCCATCTGAAGAACCAGCTAGCTCATCTCAAAGCATACCAGAAGATGAATCTTCCACAAGTGAAGATGATACTGAAGCTATTGATGAATTCATCACCCAGAAAAATCTCTGTAAGCTTTACATCTAGTTCTTTGTTTGTTATTATTATTATGATGATTTCAGTTTTGCTATCTGTTGCGAATAAAACTTATATTTATTGATTCCTCGGTGGGAAATGGTTAGCAAAACTGTTGTCTTTTTACCTTCTCTAATTGTGAAGAACTTAATTCTAAAAGAAATGCAAATGTTTCCTTTTTCATTTCAATACCTTTAAACTGTAATTGAACTACAACAATGCAGGTCCAGATAAAGCAGGATCAAACGACAACGAGTATGTTAAGAAGAAGGTTGAGAAAACAATAGAAGTTGAGAAAATTCGTGAAGAAACAAGCAATGAGTCATCCAAGTGCTCAGAGTCTTATGAAGTAGAAGAAGAAAAACTTCCTGAGACTCCTAGATCTGTAGATGGCCTACATTACCTGCATAAAAGAGATGACTCTGTGGATGGAAGTGTTGCAAGTGAGGTAGAATGTGGCGATCCAGTATTAACAATCGACCGGCTAAAAACAGCTTTAAAAGCTGAAAGAAATGCTCTAAGTGCTGTATATCAAGAACTAGAAGAAGAGAGAAGTGCATCAGCAGTGGCTGCCAACCAAACAATGGCAATGATTACAAGATTGCAAGAAGAAAAGGCAGCAATGCAGATGGAAGCATTGCAATACCAAAGGATGATGGAAGAACAATCAGAGTATGATCAGGAAGCCTTACAGCTTTTAAATGAGTTGATGACGAAAAGGGAGAAAGAGAAACAAGAACTTGAGAAAGAATTGGAAGAGTACAGGCAGAAGGTAATGGAATATGAAGCAAAAGAGAAACTGAGGGTGCTGAGAAGAATGAAAGATGGAAGTGTAAGAAGTAGAGACTCCTCTTCTTCTTGCAGCAATGTGGGCTACACCGATGAGCTATCCATTGACTTTAACCGCGATCCACGAGACGAAGATCATGTCTTATTCAACCATGAGGAAAGCAGCCACAACAATGCAAGTGATGACACAGTTTCTAACTTGGAGGAGATGGCACTAGACTGTGTAAAGCATGTGAGTGCTCTTGATGATACATTGGCAGAATTTGAGGAAGAAAGGGCTTCCATTCTAGAACAGCTCAAAGCATTAGAGGAAAAGATTGTTTCATTGGGAGATAACGAGGAATTCCTTGATGACATCAAATTGATTGAGAATTCATCAATGTATTGTGACAAGGACTTGAGTGAAAACTGCAACTTTAGCAGTGTAGAGGAGAATGGATATTCTAATGGTTTTTCAGATGACATTGATAAACACTCTACAATAGGTTCCTTGGCAAAGAAGCTACTGCCATATTTAGATGCAGCTGAGGATGAGACTGAGGAAACATACACAATTGAGAGACAATTGGAATCTGAATCAGTTGACATGCAAAACTCAGATCCTATACTTGAAATGGATAGCATGAAGACATGCATTGAAGAGGAGGTTGATCGCGTGTATGAGAGGTTACAAGCTCTTGAAACAGATAAGGAGTTTCTACAACACTGTATGGGTTCCATACAGAATGGTGGAGAAAAAGGAGTGGATCTGCTTCAAGAAATCCTGCAACATCTTCGTGATCTTAAGGATGTGGAACTACGCTTGAAGACTTTGGGAAATGATCCACTATAGTGAAGTTTGCATTCTCCAAAGACATGTAGGCATAAGGTATGCATTTATGTAAAAAGGGTTGGTATATCTAGTTTCGGAAAAGCTATTGCACTTTTTGTTTCCTAAGTTTAACAATTTCGTGAATTTTCTCTCAACTATTGAAATTGCACATTCTATCACTCAACTTTCAATTTTTTACACATTTTAAAACCTTGTTAATTGACTACCTACCTTCATTAGTTGACCATTAATGTGATATATTGATATCTAACGTAATATGTTAATCTTCGACATGAATTACTAATGTGACATATGGATGATGATGTGATATAATGTACCACATCAACAATCAACATGTTACATTAATGATTGACGTATCACATCAACAATTAACTAATAAAGAAGAACAGTTAATTAATAGGGTGACATAATGTGCAAATTTTAAAAGTTATGTGACAAAATTTGCGAAATGTAGAACTTTGGTGGCAAGAAGTACAATTAAACCTTTCTTAAATCTTATCTTTTAGTTTTTATGGTTAAAACTATTTCATTTTAATTCTTGTACATGTTGTCTATTAGCTATGACCTATAGGGATTATAAAGACTAAAATGTAATATTCTTAACTATAGAGATTAAAAGTAAAATTTATGAAACTATACTAACCAACCGGGTATTTAATCCAATAAAGGTAATGAACTAACGGTGCTAGTTCACTAGCATCAATGTTTCAAAATGCTGAAATATTTTACTTCTTGCTTAATGCAGGTGTTGCTTCATGATGAGTGTGCACATTTAGGATTTGTGGGAAGTCATTTCTCACCCTGCATCATGTAGACCTACAGTAACCAAATTTTGTTGCGAAAAATCAGAAAATTTTCTCCAACGGAGGGAGGGATATTTCTGGTATCATGTGATGGTTTGTTAATTTGGTACCAAAAAGGTTGAAGTCTGTCCATATCTAAGGTCTCAGCTTGATGGGCTATCTACAAAAATTGTGTGAGGCCCAAAATTTTGTAGGGCCTAGAGGAGAACATCATTTGGTCCCCTCAACTTGGGCCTATTTCTCAATACATCAAATCTGTTTTTTTTTAATCTCTTATTTCCTTACCCCATCTTATATGTTTGGTAGGTGGGAGAGGGAAAGTAGTGAAGTTGTAGTACATGAAGAATGGAGTGTTCAAAGTATGGGCTCTTAAACCTCACAGAAAAATCATGTGTCCATCATGATGTATTGTATAATCTGTATCTATTTGTTAATCATATGATAAATCATGTTTCATTTTCTTTTCGATATAATTGAATAATCTGCTTTGTAATTTTACCATCAATGTTGAAGAGGGAAATGAGTTCATAGAATTATGAAGAAGCCAAAAAAAATAAAAGGAAAGATAGAAAGGGAGGACTTCACTTATTCTAATTGTCATTATCATCGCATTACAACTAATTTTAACAATAGTTAGGATCACTTGACACTAAAACTAATATTCTATTATTTATTTATTTATAAGATTTGATTGTCTAATTCATTATAAGTAAGGAAGAATGTTACTTTAATTGATAATATTATACTTATTAAAAAAAATTATTTTAGTTTCCTAAAATTATCCCTTACATTAATAAGATTCTTACACTACTAACTATTTATTGAAATAAGAAAATGACTTTAATTAATGTAAGAGAGAATTGAATAATTTGTCTTTTTAATTATACTGTCAATGTTGAAGTAGGAAATGAGTTGATAGAATTATGAAAAAGTTGAAAATCAAAAAGAAGGTAGAAATATCTCTTTTATTAATTGTCACTATTATCACATTACGACTAATGTTAACGATAAAAGATCATGAGACTAAATATAATATCCTATTATTTATATTTTTATAAGATTTAATTGTCTAATTTATTGTAAGTAAAGTTATTTTATTTGATAATATTAAATTATTATAAATTTTTTATTTTTATTTTTGTAACACTATCCCTAACACTAATAAGATTCTTACCCTACTAATTATTTGCATAAATAAGAAAATAACTTTAATTAATGTAAAAAATAATTGAATAATCTGCCTTCTAATTTTATCATCGATGTTTAACGTGGGAAATGAATTGGTATAATTGTAAAAAATTAAAAAAGGGAAGGTAGAAAGGGAGGATGTCACTTTTCCTAATTGTCACTATCATCACATTACAACTAATTTTAGCTATAGAAGATCACTTGAGACTAAATCTAATATCCTATTATTTATTTATTTTTATAAGATTTAATGACCTAATTTATTGCAAGTAAGGAATTAGCTCACTTTTTTGATAATAATAAATTTATTATATATTTTCATTTTTATTTTTCTAAAATTATTCATAAGTTGTATGTGTTGATGAGTTAATATTGTGATGATATAAGTTGTATGTGTTAACGTGTTGTGAAGGTGCTACTGAGATGTATGTTGTCTATGCGTTGTGTGTTGCATGGGGAATAAGTTGTTATTGTTGATAGTGATGTTGTGTTACAAGTTGCTTTTATATTCATATGTTGTTTAAGTATTATGTATTGTATGTTGAACAAGTTGATGAACATGATGACAGTAATGCTAAGTTGCATGTGTTGTGTGTTGAACTATTTGATGATGATAGTGATGTTAAGTTGCTAGTGTTGTAAGTTGTTTTCATATATATATATGTGTGTGTGTGTGTGTGTGTGTGTTGTTGTTGATAGGTATGTAATACATGTGTTGCTTGTTGTTATGTTGAATATGGTGATTATTATTATGAGTTATTTATTTTCTCTAACTTATCCTTGCATGTTTTCATGTGGTTTGGACTACGATGATCATACGATGTATGAGAGCATGACATGAATAAGCTGAGAGATAATTGCTAGAGACAACAGGAGGTGCCTGAAGTTGGATTTTTATTTTGTAGACTACCAGTTGTTGGTAGATACTTCTATATAAATGTTTGTATATAGTTGCTGGACAAGCAACATAGTTGTACATATTCATGAGTTGTAGATGTACTTATATTATATTACTGTTTAAGTATAGGTATATTTCAGTAGTGTGTTGTAGTGTTTCGCAGTGTGATGGTCAAGGCGAGTCGTTACACTATTTTATATATAAACCTTCAATTTATTCCTTATTTTTACGTTTCTTTAAAACACTAGTTTCTTCAATTTATATTACATATTATATATTTCATATTTTGGACTCCTTCGTGTGGCTTCAAGATTCCTGAATCCAAATTCGAAAAGTCCAAAAGGTGATAACGGACAGCACATGTCATAACAAAGCAAAGAGAAAATGAAGATCACGAGTTCGACCAATTGCATGTTGTTATCCATAAATGAAGTATGATTTGAAATTTGTCAATCCTTATTATGCAACTCTTTCTGTAACATTTAAGGTGAGTTGGTTGGGATCAGAGTGAGAAATCGGAAGGGAAAAAAAAAGTTAAAACAGAGTAAAAGTTAAAAAAGAGGGGGGAGGGGGTGAATTGCTTGGTTCACGTGAGATGTAATGTAATAGTTAGAAAATGAATTAAATAATAATAATAATAATAATAAGAGCCACGGTAAAAGTTTAATTGACTAACTAAAAAATGATTAAAATTATTTTTATTTTTATTAAACTAAACACTCCTACTTTTATTATATTTCTCATGTATTTACATTTTTTCTTCTTCTCTATTTTTATTTATCCTATTTGGCTATTTCTCACATACAACCGAACACACTTTTACCAACAAAGTTTTAAGGCTTTTTGACCAAAGTAGGGTCGTTGACCAAGTTATTTACGTAAATGAGGTTGTTTTGAATTTATTTACGCCTTTGGGGCTCTTTATAACGGTGTCGCTATGGCCCACAGCGACACTAGTACCACGTGACATTTTATAAACTTCAGGAAAGCCATGAAAGCCATATTAATTACTTTCTATGCTTCATGCTTTACCTGCAACTGCAAGAGTCAAAAACAAAACAAATAGACCTTTAATTTAACCGGAGATGGGGGAGAAGCAACTCTCCGATCGAATCAAGTGTGGGGCAAGGGCGGGGCAAGGGCTCATGCGCGCGCGCGGAGAAAGCAAAGGCTTCTCAATATTCACGAGCAAGGGCTTCAGGAGACTCATGCGTGCGGGGTTAGCAAAGACTTCTCGATATTACATCGGTTACTATGTAAACCGATGTAGATATCTTTATGTGCGACGCTTATTCACAAAAATGTCACCGTGCTTTTAATACTATATCGGTTCTTCTGAAACCTGATCTAGAATATTTCATATTTACATCGGTCCTACTCAAAACCGATATAAATATGCTTTATATTTTACACTTAATTATAATAATGCTACCGTGTCTTATTTTTACATCATTTTTTTGTTAACCGATGTAGAAATGGTGATGTAGATCAGTATTTTATTTTGATGCAACTCTGGTTTGTTCAGAACCGGACCCCCAACCAGCCATGACTCTAAACCACTTACCTTGTTTTCAATTGCTATTGTTACCAAACTATGCTCGTATTCAACATCAATAATATTATTAAACACTTCCACATTCATATTCAATCCTCTTACATTCAACTCTATGGAAGTGTTATAGTTATCCATAACTACATCCATGCCATCATATAGGTACGTATAAAATTTTAAATATATGTGCGTAGGAAGCAAGAGAAAATTCTTAAAAACAGATAGCAACTACACAAAATTTAAGCTTTTATGTTAGAATAGTGGATTAAACCTAACTCAACCCTACAAAACCGGCTTGTAAGGTAAGGGTTGCTTTCCACTTATATACTATTCAATTGCCTAATCTCTAGTCGATGTGGGACTTGGGTTTTTCCCAATATTCAGATCATTAATTTCCCCCCTCCGACCACTTGTGCCATGTTTCTACCATAATCAAGCCATCACTATTCTGATCTTTTATATATTATGTGATCGAGATACAAAGAAATTACACATTTTTCACAGTAAATGGCCCCTATATATACTTTTTACCAGATACTTTCTATCCTCACAAGCGCTAACTTTTATAAGGACCAATCGGTAAAACAAGGCAATTAAGCAACGGGAGATATCACACATTGACAGGAAGCTCAACACAAAGTGGACTCTTCATATAGAAACAAATTAATAAAACACACAGTACTTAACACATATACACTAATTAAAAATAAAAGATATAAAATTAAGAGGTTATCTTAAACCCCTGGACAAACTTACTTAATGCACAATGAAGTTGGCTTCTCTGATAGTTTGTTACTGACGTGAGTCGTGGTTGCTGTATTTATATGATCTTGTGTGTGATGAGCTAAGAGAACGTGTATGAATGCTTGCGTTGAGATTGTTACGTGAACAAAAGAAGAAAAAAAAAGGTGAGCTCGGTGTACGTGTTTAGCTATCAATGAATCCAAAAACATAGGAAGAGTGTGTTGTATGTTTAAATAGTGAGAAAGGAGAGCTGGGAAGTAATGAATGTGTTTGTGTTTTGGTTTTTGGAGAGGAGAAAAATAGCGGTTTGATGGATGAGCCTCTTTCACGGTAATGACCTTCTAAAGATTAAATCTAAATATTTGAAATATAAATAAAATTTTCTTATAAAAAACTAACTTAATCTTCTAAAGATATTTAGGCATATTCTCAACATATAATTTTATTACAAACAAGTCCCACATCGATAAAATAATACAACAAATAACAACTTATATAATACAAACATACTTCAATGATTGAGAGGCCTTTTGAGTGATGACCAAAAGCAAAACTGTGAGGGTTTAGTCCCAAAGCGGACATATATAAATATTTATGTAAATATTTATGGTTGAGTTCATATAACTTAAATTTTAATGTTAACAAACGGATGTAGAGGAAAACTGATTTGCAAACTTGATTCAAAATTAGCAATTAAGCTTATTATATTAGAAATTTAGAATGGGACCTTACTTTCCAACGCTGAAAGGTGTAACTGAATTGCTAAGAAGGGATCGCGATCATCCAATCACCAAGATTTAACAGGGTGACCTTAGAGGGTATTTAAGGGAGGGATATGATTAGAGGTTAGTATAGCAGAAGTAACTGTGTTTGGTCGGGTGAATTTGTGTGTATTTGTAGGGAAATTCAAAAGGCCTCTCAATCATTGAAGTATGTTTGTATTATATAAGTTGTTATTTGTTGTATTATTTTATCGATGTGGGACTTGTTTGTAATAAAATTATATGTTGAGAATATGCCTAAATATCTTTAGAAGATTAAGTTAGTTTTTTATAAGAAAATTTTATTTATATTTCAAAT